TGGTCATGTGACTGCCCCCATGTGACTCCTCCCCAAACTTTCCTGGGGGAAGGCCCTGGCTCTTCCTGCCCCCAGTCCCCTCCCTGAGCTGTGCAGCCTGGGGCAGTAGTGGAGGGGGGCTGGCAGCAGGGGTCAGCCGTCCCACCCCTGTCTGTGGGGGCAGGGGGAAGAGGAGTCCCCTGGCCCCATCACTCCACTTCCTTTCATGTGACTGCCCCCATGTGACTCCTCCCCAAACTTTCCTGGGGGAAGGCCCTGGCTCTTCCTGCCCCCAGTCCCCTCCCTGAGCTGTGCAGCCTGGGGCAGTAGTGGAGGGGGGCTGGCAGCAGGGGTCAGCCGTCCCACCCCTGTCTGTGGGGGCAGGGGGAAGAGGAGTCCCCTGGCCCCATCACTCCACTTCCTTCCCGTGGGGCAGAGCCGCCCCATCCCCCACCAATGGGGCAGGGAGCCAGGGGCAAGGAGCAGCCTGGGTTGGGTCACTCCACTTCCCGCTGCTGGTGAGAGCAGGGAGGCCTGCCCCTGCAGCCTGTCCCGCCCCCCCAGGCTGTCGGTGGGGGAGGGGCCTCGGAGAAAGGGGTGTAACCCCCCACACTCACCAGTGGCAGGAAGTGGAGTGACAGGGTGGGCAGCTGGGTGAGTGTTTGGGGGTAACGCCTAATGCTGGGACATCCCCCCCAAAGTATGGGGCCCAGGGCAGCTGCCCCCTTGCCCCTCTCCCCACAGCGTTTGGGGGTATGTGATCTTCCCCCCTCCCCCAACATGGCCCCTAAGCACAGAAGTGAGGTGGCAAGACCATCCCATGCCGTCCTGCGCTGCTGCTGGCAGGCCTCTGCCTCCCGGCCAGCAGCCTCCAGCCGCCCAGCCCGAGCGCAGCCGAGCAGAAGGGAGGGGGCAGCACTGGCCCCCCCCGAACTCCTGTGTGGGTCAGCGCCCTCCGCTCACAGCCCCCAGCTGTTCCCTTCCCCTAGCGGAAACCGGGACATGGCCTGGCTGGGGTTTCAATATC